CTTTTAAAGAAGATCGGATCCTAGAAATTAAATCCCAGCAAAAATTAAATTTTAGATATTTGGAAGTAATACTAGTTAAATGGATTATATTAGCTGTAGGAGTAACGTGTTTGTTATAAAATTATTATAATCGTAATATTGTAAAACACTTTGCCGAAAGAAAATAAAACAGATTTATTAAAATTTACTATTCGTTTTTTAATTGAAAATTAAAATTTTGTTAATATTTACTTATTTTAACAAATTGTTATATTTCTTAATAAACTTTTTTTCTTGCATTTTTTACAACTTTAGATTGGACAAGATATTATAAATAATTCAATTTCACATATCAATGTGTCGTGCTAATTATTTTTATCATAGAATAAATAAACATTTACATACACAATAATTAGTGTGATAAAACATACCAAAGGATTCGATATTCTTACCAATGATTACTCCACATGAATTTTTATAAAATGAATTGCGGCACCTCAACTAAGATTTTATAGTCATTTATAATGAATTGAAATTATGGCTATGTCGAAAATGTCAAAAAAATTATATCGTGACTAAAATTTTGTAAAATTTATTCTCTTTCAATTAATTTAATTCTTTAATTACCATGTTAATGTGTCAAAATATTTAAAATATATTTATTTAAATATTATTTAAATAACTTTATTAAACGTTTAATGAATTAAGATAAACAAAAAAAAACAATTCTAATTAACACTGTAAAATAAAGAATAAATTTGTAAAAATTAATCTAAATAAGGCCAATCTGTATTATTGCCTCTGTACAATGCTATTAATATTAACAGTATTCTCTTAAAATAGAATAATTTTCAACCGTTTTATCATTTTATTTTTGATTGTATTAAAAGTTTTTTATTTTATATTTCGCTTTATGGAAACAAGTTTGGTAGAAACAAAAGCTATACTTGCTTGTTGTGTAAGAAAAATGCAATAATATCTATGTAATTTCCACTGTACGTACATACATGTGTATATACATACAAAATTCATATCAACAGTTCACAGTTATATTTCCCATATTTTATAAAAGGTTGTGTCAAAATTTCGATGATAAAGCAGAATGCATATTTGAATTGAAATTTTTTGTTCACATTCAATTTTGTTAATAAATTCGATTAGGAGCATTATTCAATATTAGCGAAAGAAGTTTCATGATTCAGATTTCTTACATATCTCTAGTCTAGCTATAGGCATTAGATTTCTTTCTTATACGTCTAAAAGAGAAAACGAAATGTGTATAATTTGTAGAATTGTTAGAATTTACTCTATACGAGCTTTAAAGCTCTTTTGAGTAAATATTGAATTAATTAATACTCGTAAATAAAAAAATTTGTAAAAAAAGCAAGCAAAAAACACAATTCTTACAAAAAATTTAGGGTCTGATCGTCTATATCGCTATTTTACTCACCAAGTGAGAAGGGAGTGTGTAACTATCATATATTTGTAAAATGTAATTTTCGAGTGAGAAAAATAATGATTTGGTATTGCATATCACATTTTTTTCAAAAATGGATACAAAATGTCCAGTTGATAATTTGAGAAAAAATGCAAAAATCCAATTGAAAAAATGAGTAATTTTATTGGAAACAATTAGAAATATCCCAAAGCAAAACCGAGAATCCTAATTAGAAAAGTAAATAGAAAGTGAGTAAAAAAGTGAGATGCACGATAAGGCTGTTAATAAAAACCTAAAAATTGAAAATTAAATCCCAAACTGTTTGTATTTAATTCTTCTTGCAAAATTGTAATAAATACTAGTAGTCGACACGTATGATTCAAATATTTGTCATAAGTACAGATGATAAGTACAATAAGCGCTGTACAGTACAGCGCCACCACCAATTGTTGCGTTCTGCAGCAATAATTTTTTTCTTATACGGTGAACCCTTTCAATACCCGTCCAATTGGAATTTTATGCCGCTACTTAAAACATTCAAATAATTTACCAGCCTAAATATAAATTTTTTCAAAATTTCTTTTAAAAATAACACAAAAAAATTAATTTAATATTTTTAGGTTTCATGTCAAATAAATTTCGATGCTTATACTAAAAGATATTATTTTGTCATATTAAAATCCATATTATCAAATTTAAAAATATGCACACATTATTCTTGAAAATCATAGAATTTTATTTATTCATTTTTCATCTTTTTCTCGTTTTAAATTAAAACAAAAGCGCAAAAAGCAAAAAAAAAACTTTTTTTAACTGTTAAATTTGGCAGCAATATTTTTTGGCTTTTAAAACGTTTCTCTTCACAAATCACTGATAAAGAAACAAAATGGCAAAAAAGAATAGAACAGGAAGAACAAAATAGTTTCTTAAAAGAGGAAATTTTTTTCCATCAGCTTAAAATTGTTTCAAATAAATCAAAAAAAATATTGAATTATTAAGTTGAAATAAAGACAGAAATTGTGTTTTTTTTTTTTATTAAAAATATTATACAATAGCAAACAAATTATAGTGCAATAAATTCAAATATGTTTTAAAGCAAATCTATACACACATATTTCTTATGTACATACATAAATACATATGTGCAATTTGAATTTCATATCAAAAATCTTATTGTGAAGGTCATGATGGCGACAATATTGTTAATTCAAAAATCTTATTTTTAATAAAAATAAAATCGGAAAAAGAATAATATAAAAATATCAGTGCATTAGCAAGAGTCTGTACATATGTACTTCTTCATAATGTTGAATATGATTATCAGAGTAATTGGATTTCAAAAAGTTGTGAGTCAATAACTTCATTCGGGCATAGATTATTTTTCCTTCCCCCAGCATATATTCATGGTTAGGAGTCGAATTCTAAGACGACCTACCAATATCCTGCCGTCATTCGGTTTGTTGCGTTAAAGCCTCAATGTAATATAATTATTTCGAAATTTCTATAATCTTTGTTAAAAAGTCAATACTTTTAGAAAGTCCTGCAATGCAAGCTACTCAGCTAACCTTAATATTTTTATTTAAAAACTAAATAAAGTAAATTCTTCAATTAATGTAATAATACTAAATTTTCTAAGAACTAGAAAAAAAATGATTCAAACTCAGAAATTCAAATTAACTAGTTTAAAAACCTTAAAATAAAAAAAATAAAATAACAAAACTCACAATTTTGCCACAAATAATTAAGTATTTCGACTTAACACATTTTGCATTTGACTAAAACGTAATTTTAAGTTCTTTTTGGTCAAAGGTCTTCAAATGTGTTCGTATAAGGTATATCGTACAAAAAGTCATAACATTCTCTACAAATTTTGTTCGGGAGGAAATCATTCCTTCTAGATTGGACCTGTTCAGAAATTTTTTCGGGGGGGGTCCGAAAAAAGTAAACAAAAATATAACCAAGTTTACCACATTCTTTTCTTCTCAATTGTTCGCGGAAATTTGTAGAAATCGGTTTCGTCAGGCAGACACTAGGCCCCAAAGATGTACGTTAGTAAAATGTTATAAATAATTTAAAATCATAATTATAAAATTTTCGGTCAAACCTATCCAATCTTTCACGTTTTAAAACCAAGGCATTTTCAGGTATAGCGAGCATCTCAAAATAGTTCCGGAATATTTTGTAATTAGAGCACTAAAGATTTTTGCTCTTTAATAAAAATTATTTTAAAAACATAGTTAAAAAACGAAATGTTATTAATAATGTTATAATTGAACAATACATTGAATAAATTCTTTTAATTATTGTACATCTGCAAATTTTTACAAATATCGCGGCTTCAGCAAAATTCTTTTAGATTGCATATGAATAGACATACATAAAAACACATAATAGCACTCTCTAAACTCAATTATATCTTAATTTATTATTTTTATTTACAATATTAAGTGTAATTAAACATGAGATGAAATTATTTTTAATAAAATAACATTACGATACGTTTTTATCAATTTTCTTAAAAAATAAAAAAAATTGAAATAAGAATTTTTTTATATCAAATTTCCGCTATGTGGACGATCAACTTATTAATACAAGTACAATATTCAGTGTATCAATTGAGAGCACTTAATTCAACATAAAAATAGTTTATATACATACACATATGCACGTATATACGTGTTTTATACGTGTACAGTAAATATCTTAAATTCAATTAGTACTATTACGAAAATATTATATACATACATAGACCACAACATTAAAATATTCTTTTAAAATGTAAACTTATACAGAAAATTTTTAAGGGGGACAATGATACTAAAATATACGGAACTAGAATGTCATAAAAACATGAAAATTATGGTTAGAAATTTATATTAAATTGAGTAGAAAATCATTAGTGAAGAAGGAATTTGGTGCATATACTTGACCTAGAGTATATTTTTCAAAGTCAAGAAGCCTTAATAAAGGATTGAAATCGGAGAAATTTGAATGATACTCCTAATTTGTTACGAAGTCTCCGATTTTAAAAACATTATAATCATTGCGTGACCATTCAAATTGTATTTCACTGTTCTCTACAAGTAAGTACGTACTTCCAACCAGTTTATTTGCATTATGTGGCTGTTATATTTTTATATGTAATACATAAATAATACAATTTGAGTATTTCGTGATATAATTCCACAAATTTTCAATTAAAAAGAAAGAGAGCATCATATATTTCTATGAATCCGCTTAATGTTTACAAATAAGCTTATAACCACGATAATGTTATTAAATATTGAAATCTGAAAATCTAAAATAAAAATTGAATGTTTACTGAGCTTAAAATCTTATTTATTTTATAATATTAAATTACATTGTGATTCTGAAGAAATAATATTAGTTTTGATTGTAATTTGCTTTGATCATGATTTACAAGAGATTCATTGCAAAAAAATGCGTTTATTAGTTTTGTTACTGACTTTTTTTGAATTTATTTCGATGATCAAATTTTATGATAAATTTATTTTTAATGATTATATAATCTTGTTCTCGGCTAAAATATAAATCTGAATAATGCCAAAATTTTATTTTATAGGTTCAATAGAATCCGAAGACTTATCACTAGAACCTCAATCAACCTCCAGTCCAGTACACAGTTTGTGCAGCCCTTTAAAAGAAGAACGCAGTTCACCAGCATTAATTGTTAAGGAAGAAACAAGTAATAATAGTTGTACAATGTATCCAACACATCAACATTCATCCAACAATAACACAATAAATACAACACATAATAATCATTCTAATAACCATCATCAACATCATCAGCAACATAATAATCATCACACAACTACACAACAAACACAACATAATATATCACCATCACATCATCAACATCATCACCATCATCATCATCATAATACTCATCATTTACACCAACAAAATCATTCGCCTTATCATAACCAATTAAATAATCATCAAAATCACCTGCAAAATCATCATCATTCTCATCACAATAACCAATTACAACAACATCATCATAATCAAAATCAACATTCACATAATACTCATCCTCACCATCATCATCATCCACATCATAATCCACAACAACATAACACACATCAATCTCAACAAAACCAACAACAACAGCAGCAACAACAACACAACAACAATCAAAGTAGTGGTAAAATTTCATATCGTGGAACTTTCGCCACTACAGGTAACCCATCTTTAGGAGGCTTATCAGCATCAGTAGCGGCTGTGACAGCGCATCAATTAGGATCATCTCAATTACAAGGATTGCCTGGTCAAATGTCACCCCCATCAGCTGGTCTTGGCACCAATTGGAACCTTCCTAGTCCCGACAAAACTATTTTCCAAACCCCTATGTTTAGCTTATTAGGTCCCGGACCTCAGTCTACAGTACAACCACATTATTCAACGCAATCAGCAGCCAGTACAACATCACCTTCACCCCATCATATGCATACTTCAGGTTATAGTGAAGAAAGACCACCACATATTGAATTAATGGGATTGACAATGGAATGTCCGCCTAGTTTGCTACTGAAACAACAATCTGCAGCTGCTGCTTACGGTACTAGTTGTCTATCAAATTTAGATCTTCAAGGAGTTCAAGCTGCTCAAGACATTCATCAGTATACGAGACAGCAGCTAGCTGTTTCAACCCCAAAATATCAATGGCTCGATACCCAACCAGATTTTGGAAGTGTAGCACAGCAGCAAAATCTTGTTGTTCCTGGACCTTCATCGTCTTCATCAGTAGCTAGCATTATTCCAAAACAAGAAATTTATGCGCCAGAAGGGAGCAGTTTGCATTTACAACAGCCGCATCATCAACCACATCCTCATCACCATCAGCAACCTCAAGGACAATCATTATACAACCCCGCCACGCAATTGGCTGAATATAACCCGTCAACTAGTAAAGGTTTAGAAATTTTACAACAAGTTTATCAACAAGGTAGTCTACCATTGAAATTAGTTCCAGTTAAACCACGTAAATACCCTAATAGGCCAAGTAAAACTCCAGTTCATGAGAGACCATATGCGTGTCCAGTCGAAAATTGTGATCGTCGATTTTCACGTTCTGATGAACTCACTAGACATATAAGAATACATACTGGTCAAAAACCATTTCAATGTAGAATTTGTATGAGATCATTTAGTCGATCAGATCATCTTACAACACATGTACGAACGCATACTGGTGAAAAACCATTTTCATGTGACGTTTGTGGTAGAAAATTTGCTCGTTCTGATGAAAAAAAGAGACACGCAAAAGTTCATTTAAAGCAGCGTATTAAAAAAGAAAGTAAAATGAACCAACAGCAACAGGCTGCAGCAGCAGCAGCTGTAGCCGCTGCGACCGCTGCTGCTGCTGCTCAACAACAGCAACAACAGCAGCAGCAACAACAACAACATCATCATCACCATCATCCTCATCATCAACATAGCCATCATATGCTTCATTCCGGAGATATTTCAATAGTTACAACTACTTCAAATAATTTGTAGACCGAGCAGAAATCATCGATCGGTGATAATGCAAATATTAGTAATACAATTATTACAAGAGCATCCGCTACAACTAAACCTCAGGAAACTGTACAGGTTGCTACACAGACTGAAAATTTAAATAGGGTAGTAAGTTGTACAACAGTTAGGCCAAATACTGTAGTCGATGGGCGAACTTTTAGTTCCACAGAAACACAAACAAGTCCAATAAACGAACAAAATTTTGTTCAGCCCTCTAATATTACAAGTCAATCCGGACAACAAACCCAACCACAACAGCAACAGCAAGCTACGAGAGAAACAAGCCGAGAATTGTATATATTATTTTTGCTTCCGTAAGTTGAAATATGAAATTTATTAAGAAATGAAAGAAAAAATTAATTTTCAAATTTTAAGTTTTCTTTCACATTACCGTAAATATTAATTTTCTTCACTTCTAAATATAAATAAATTTCGATTGCAAAAATCTTTAGTTTAAATGTTAATCAATCACAACTTTCCAATAAAATTATTGTTATACAATTATTACTAAGGGACGATAATAATCACCTCTAATAATTCTCTTCTGCCTTTTAAACCGTTCCTATGATATTTTATTTTCTGTATCATGTTATTTTCATAAACGATAATTACAATCATGGTGTATGTAATTTACTGTTCTAAACTTATGATCTCAGCATTATTAATTTTTTTTTAATATGTGAGATCAGAGTCAAATAGGATTCATAGTAGATAAAGTAGCAAAAAAAAAAGTAGAAAACGAACTAGAAAGGGAAAATTTTTAAATACATAAAATGGTCCCAGAAGGTGCAACCAAAGAAATGATACCAAGTTTTATACATGACCCCCTACAGCTATAATTATGTACACTTTTTTTTAGTTCTCTTGCTTAAATCATATGGGAACCAGATATTAAAAATTAAAGGAGCAATTTTTAACATTAGTCAAACTAAACTTGAGGTGTTAAAATAGTTTAAGGAAATTGCTTGGAAAACTTCAATTTTAAGAAATTCTATAATACCTTATTTAAAAGTGGTTTTAAAAATTTTTGATTAATTTATACTAAAGTAAATCGCATATCTTGAATGGATTAAGTCTACGTTATATAGACTGTGTCGAAGAACTATCGGAAACTGGCGTGAAGAATCTAATTTGATATAAAATATCAATCAGAATAAATCTAGTGTGGGAAGAAGTATAATTTTATTGGAAAAAACAGAAACTTTTGGTTTTGAAAATATTTGCTTGGATTTAGTTCTTATTCACCAAATAAAAAACATGTTAAAATTGTCATATATACTTGAATAGTACTCAGAATTCAATATAACTGATTGAAAACCCTAAATTATACATCGATATTTATAGACCTACGTCTATGAAATTTTGATGTACTTTATAAATTTTCGTCTTCTTTACAATGATAATATTGCAACGACCTTAAAAATGATCAAGAAATCTTCCACTACTTATTTTCAATTCATAAGAATATGTGTGTAATATATTTTTCTACTTGCTCGTTCAAGACTAAATCAAATTATTTTAAATACTGGTAACACTATTAATTACTATTATTTTACTTAAAACACACCCATCTTATACAAGTAAATTAATTCGAACAATATGAATGAGTAAAAATTAGCAAAACAGTTTTAGAAAAAAATTATTCTCTAATAATAGAATGATTATTATAATCCAACACATGTATTTATGCATGTTTGTAAACAAGTATGTATTAGAAATATTTTATTTATGTACAACCATACATACATAAGCTAAAAGCTTCTAAATGGCGTTTAGGCTCCTCAAGATAGACGGTTATGATACGAATATATTTATTTTCTCTAAGAAAATTTTATTTATTCATCACTAAACTTGTAATTATTTTATATCTATTTATGTATATCTTTATTCATCTTATAGACGTAATGTATATGTACCCACTTATACACATATTTTGATGAGATTTAATAACTTTTACTAACTAACACATTGAAATAACACCACCCAGCAAGAAGGCACACTATTATTATTAACTGTATATACTTCTCCATACAAAGGTGCATATGGGTAAGTGAGAAACAAAACAGGGAAAAATTTTAAGCTTTATTTAATTTTATTATTTTACTTTCTTTTCATTATTATGAGCCATAATACCTAAATGTTTTGTTTCTCAAAACAATTATACGCAATAGTATTATAACAATTAAAGCTTCTCTTAAATACAACGAAAATATTATCGAACCAATGAGAAATTAAAAATTCCTCTACACGCATATTTAATAACTCTTTGAATGCTTTACCTTTTTGGTATAAAACTTTATAATAAATAAAATAATTATATAACCACCATTGTTGTATAAGTATGTAAATTTCATATTGAATTTATTAGTAAAATTCAATTCTGAAAGTAGTTGCTTATATGAGCGTCTCAATTATCCATTTTTTATTACTTTTCCTCATTGTAATGAATGCTGTTGAATTCTTATCAAATTTCATTTTGAATAAAACTAATACTAATGAAATGTTTCTCAAAACTATACATACATATACATACACACATACTTAATATTTATATATAATTCTACAAATATGTAGCTATAAAACAGTTAAAATTACTTGCAATATTATCACTTTAAAAAAATCAAACCTTGAAATTATTATTTTGACTTTAGAGATTATTATTGTAATTTGTTTTAAGTAATAACTTTAACATAACAATTGTAATGGTTCCAATTACAGTAAAATACAATTATAGCAAATTTATTTGATTGAATTCAATACTTTACTTATTTACCATTTAGTTTAAAGCAGAAGGTCTTATGTCTAGTTAATGGATTTAGTTTGGCGAGAATTTGAAATGGATTTTATTTGACGGTTTGATAGAGATAAATTTAGTTCGTCCATACCCCATACAGCAATCAAATATAAGTATGTAGTTCATACAACTAACATTTTCTTTAGTTCTACGCGAATGTCTAAATCTAAAAAAAGGTATTATAATTAATACAGGTTCATGAAGATCGGTTTTCTGTTATACTATTGAAAACTTTGTAAAAACTAATGAAAATTTTCAGCGTTTTTGATAATTTAGTTTCAACTTAGTACTAAATGTGTCCTATGTTTGACAATAAAGAACTGCACATGCTGTCAAAATGTGTTTGATAATGCGGTACTATTTTTCCAGTTTGTTATACCCCCAGCAACCCAATTTTAAGTTTGCTGGACTTACAGGATTTTTTAGGTTTCTTTTAAATTTTGTTATTAATAGAAAATTTTTAATTTATATTTCAGTGAACTGGGAATAATAACAAATAATAACAATCTTAGGACTTGCATATTCAAAACCATGTTGCATTATCAAAAACATCCTTTCTGTTACACCCGTAAACACCAAATAATCTCAAAAAAATTAAATCAAGAATAATGAGGACTTTACTGTTTCCACTTTACCTAAATTTATACAAAATTGAATAATTTTTACTTTCATATGAATTGATTTGCGTGTGGTTTGAATTCTGACACTCAGGAAAAAAAAAACGATTTTTACTTTGTTTTTATACATAGATACACACATATTTACTTTAATATATTTTTTCATTTTATTCAAGCAATCAAACACTCAATTGTTGTCTAGTTTGAAAATAATAACTTTTGATCTCTAGAGATTTTTTTAAGGTACGTGAATAGTACAGCAAACGTTTCCATGAATACATAAAATATTATATGTATGTATACATATAACATGAACACCTATTTTGATATGCACACACTTACAATATAATGGTAGAATTTATGAAAGATTTACAATAGTACTGCATTCTGATTACAAGTATATTATAATGAAATATAAGTAACTAAGTAAGCAAGTATAGAGAAGATAAAGTGTAGAAATAAATCCTATATATTCATAATTTTTGATATTTTCTGTTTGATAAGAGGATTCCAGTAGCTCCTTTTTTAAATGCATTTCAAATTTTTACTTAAAAATAGATTTCTTTAGATTTTCTCATTAGGGAATTATTCTTGCCTATATGACAGCGACAAGCAAGAAAAAAAAAATTCTAATCAGTTTTTTTTTCTCTTACTTATTCTCTTTCGAGTTTCTTTATGATTGTTAAAAAGTGAAAAATAAACAACAAAAACAAAATTATAATATTAAAGATTTTTTCATTTTGAATATATGTATGTATGTATGTACCTACTTGGAAAATTAAGTCCCAACAACTATGAGTTATTCATTCACAATTATTTAGAAAAAAATTTGATATTAATTTTCCGATTGATCAAAAATTTCTTAGACTATAACTGCGAAGCATCTAAAATTCAATTTCAATAAAATTTTATTGGACTGTCAACTTACCATTAAAACGATTCAAACCAGATATACTGCATTTTGGAGTGATAAATTCAGATTCGTTATTGATATTCATAAAATCAAAATTGGAAAAATAGCTCAGGTTCTTCTGGTGATCCCTCCTATACTGATAGTTTACAACGAAATTTTTGATTGTAAAGTGAACTCGGTGGTAAACTATGGCGTCTCTCAACTAGTTATATTACATTTGAATGGAGGCAAAAAAAAGCGTACAATTTTTCACCATCTCCAAAAATATATAACTTTTTCCAGGGAAAACTATTTTTCTTGAGGAAGCCAAGCAGAAATAGGAAGGGTCATTTCAGTAAAGTCTTGCCGACGTTGTACAGTCTGGCCGACGTTAGAAGTTTCCTAAAAAAATCAAAAGTTGTTCAATTGTAATTTTCGCAATCTCATTTTATAAATTATCAACATGGGTTTGAATCTATATTATAATTTGGAATTTTTTTTTTAATTATATTTTTGATATAGTATAACATAATTGAAATGTCGATTATAGAATACCATTCATAATAATTTACGTTTTAATGTACGATATCTTATATGCTATTTAAATTATGCATAAAAATAATATTGAAGACAAGTGCATTCATACATAATATTCTAATATCCAAAGTAAAGAATAATAAACCATAAGTAAATTCTGATAAAATTATTATGATTATCATATTATTGTATAACGTTAAAAGGAAATTAAATAAAGGTGTACCTAAGAGAAAAAGTTTTAGAATCGTTTTGAATAAAACAGTCTATAAAGCCACAAAAATAAAAAGGCAAAAACAAGAAGCGTACAGAATAATTTCTTTAGAAAGAAGAAAACTACATAATTACAAAGAGGGTTTTTTCAACTGGTACGAATTGATATGGTGCTAATGATAAGATATACCCGTTTTATAAACCAGATTCGTATATTGTCAATTATTAGTAAAAAAAATTTACATATATACTTATGTATTTTTCTTAACATATCAAAAATAAACCAACCTTATTCTATGGAAATATTTAGAAATTTTTTAAAATTTTACAACGATTTGTATACAACGTATGAAAATGAATTTTGTTTGTTAAATCTTACA